ACCCGGTGATGAGAAAAGATAAGATCATCCTTGTATCCGATGATGATAAACTATACGCTATAAAAAAAAAATAAAAATAAAATAAAGAATCATCTGACTTCCGCCTAAAATGTCAGAATGAAGTGATTATTTAAAGAATACGCACAAATCGTCCAAAAATAATGCATGCTTATTTATTGAATCGAGAATTTCAGCCAATGTGTATGCATGTTTCCCGTGACTTAAATTTTGCTACATGTAACTATAAATAATATTCTTTTAAAAATAGCTGGTTTTTCTCATATACGAAGTAAATAATGTACGAACGATGCAAAATTATTATTTTTACATATTTTGAAATTACAATCCTTCAGATGGAACGTTAAATAGTTTTCTATGTTAAGGTTTACAACTACATGTACATGTATTTTGCATGCAACAGATATGATTGCCACCACGACAAAAGGTCCTTATGGCAATTTTTCTAGAACAGAGAAATAACGTCATAAAGACGTGACGTTGCAGACGGTGAGCGTCGTCGCAGATTTTTTTTTTTACACGTGTTTCACGTTTTGGCATGTCTAGACTTTATCGTGGTTTTTGAACATTGTTACCGTTTTAGAATAATTTAATTTCATTTATTTTATATAATTAATTCTGATTTTTCACTTTGGATCTTCTGGTCCACTGGTATTAATTTAAATGTAGGCCTATTTAGAATTTTATTTGAGACCAGTTTCTTTACTTCATCTAGCTATATATATATATACGTACGTCTCTGATCTATTCATTTCCTATATGTATATATTGAAGCATAGACAAATTCTAAATAATACGGATGAATAAATGCAAATTTTTCTATACTAGTATAGACAAAATTAAAGTTAGGTGTTAGGCAAGGGCATTTAATCAAAATTCTGGAAAGAAAATTGTTTTCCTGTATGAGATCCGCTCCAGCATTCTCAACATCTATGTAAACATAGAACCATCGGTGCATCTTCCATATTTTTTGTTGTAAAGTGATTAAATGCTAAAACAATTTTGAAACTGAACAAATTTCTTACAACAGAGATTAAAAGTATTCTCATAAGTTTCCCGAATCTTGCAAAATAATGAGCAAGTGACAGACGCGAAATTGTTTTCAGAATTATAAATAAAAACAGGAGAGATAACTCTGATAATCGAAATACTTTTTAAAGGGGTGCCAGAGAGGGGCATTTATTTATTTTCTTCATTTTAACTGACCATCTTCATAGAAATTTGCTCCCGAATTATATATTTAAAAAAACTTTTTAAAAATCTTATTTATCAGCAGTTCAAACGTTCTACTAAGTAGTTGAAAAACATTTAGAAGGATTTTTTTAACACTTTTGAAAGTAGATTCCTTAAAAAAGGAATTGTAGAATAAGAAATAAATGCAACATTGAACCTAATTTTTTAATTTAAAAAATCTGTTACATGCGCTCTACTCCTTTTGATATGAAAATGTTTAAATGACTTTAATTTTAAAATTATTTTTCAATAAAAAAAATGTTTAACTCTTTGTTGTTGTTTCTTCCGATTAATATCATAGTGATCACAGACAAAAACTACCTTTTGAAATAAAATTATTCAAAATTAAAAAGATAGATCAAGTTTACATTCGTGTCTTATTCTGATGAGAGAGATAGAGATCTTATATTTAATCAGTTTATGGATGTAGAAATGAAACTTCAATGAAAAATCGAATTATTCAAGCAAGAGAATATCGTATATAATGTAAAGAGATCTCTACTGTTTTAGGTGTACCTATTTATTTCCAGGAATAGCTTTGAATATCTGCAGATTTAAGTCGTACATAGCATACGTGTAAGTCATCAAAACATGTACAATCCGTGTCTTATATACATGTACATGTAGTATCAAAGCAATGAACGCCGTACGGTTCTATTACCACAGGATCGAGTTTATATCGTCCAAAAAAAAAATCCGGAAAAAAATTTGCCATCCTCAACTAAATATTTTTTTTTGACGATAAAAACCAAACGTCTGTGCTATTATCAATTTATTACTCGTTTTGTTATTGAAATTATAATAATATCATTTATTGGTGCCCAACCTGCTTGAATAATGTAAGCGAAATGATTTTATTTTTATAATTTATTGGTAAAATAATTCCCGTGATAAACAAATTAGAGAACAAAAACAATGATATTTTTAAAAAAAACGCAATAAGGTGAGAATTCTACACACTTCATCGCATAACAAATATTTTACATGCCACCTCGTATATTTCTGTCATTTTCAAAAAAACTATGCCAGTCAAGAAATATTGCGAACTAGTCGCATTTAAATAAAATATCAAATTTCCTCTTTAATTTCTATCCCCTGACGAAAAATTTCTGTATTAATTAATTTATATGATTGAAAACAACAAGGCATTTACATGCATAATTATTATACCCTGCTTGAAAAGTCGGGGGGGGGGGGTATAGTGATCGGGATGCCCGTCCCTCTTTCTATTATACCCACCGCTTATCCCCATCTCTTACACCACTGAATGAATTTTAATGAAACTTCACAGATTTTTTGTTACATAGTGCCATAAGATTGTACACCTCTGGTACTATTTTACTTTTTGGTCGGTTACATATTTCGGATTTTCCTTGATTTAGATTACAAAACAAGGGCAACGCCATTCTTTCTATAATATTGAAGGGTACCCGCAACTCCTCCTATGCCATTAAATAAAAGTTAATGAAGTACTTTCACTTATCATAATTATTTATTATAAATCATGCCATTTTGAAATCTTGCCGACTCGGCGTCAAATAAAAATCAATCAATCAATCAATGATTTGTATACTGATTAAAATGATATTCTATTAATTTTACTTATTTATTTTTGTACATTATGGATAATAGAATTTTGATAAAAAGACGATCGGGTTTTCATTGGGAGGAGGGGGGGGTTTAATGTAAGGCACAATAGAATGTGGCTGCAGTAGAAACAGTATTAGGAAAAATCCTAATAGAATGAGTCAATTTTGAGACACAAGGCTAGTATCACACCATGTTTGATTTCACGTTATCACTATATACAAATTGTTCTGATTTTTTAAAATCTAACTTAAGAATAATTATCGTAGCATGATTTTAGTTGTGATTTTATTGGCTGCATGGTTCATGTATTTTCTGTAAAAAACGAGGTATTTCTGAGATCGACCCTCTGTAAATTTGGACTCGATCGCATTAATTTGGTGTCTTTTTCCTTTACATGAGGATTACGTAAAATCAAACAAATTGTGTTAACTAACTCGTATGCTTTGAGGTTACATGATGAAACGTAAAATCAGCATACATATAGATCTATATTTTTTAAATGGAAGTTCAGTTGTTCATTTGTCCGTCGGTACGAAAGACAGAAAAGTAGATTTTTTTAGGGGGGGGGGTATTCGGTTTTTAAAGGATTTATAATACAGTTAACACAATTTTGGGGATTGTAGATTATGATCAAATATTTTTGTCATTAATGAAGCATTTTATTTAACTTACACATGATGAACACTTGGATTGCTAAGCGATAACAGGTGCCCCTACCAAACAACTGAGAATAAACCATGACGTCACAATTGAATCGTAAAGAAACTGCGATATGCTCAGAGTTAATTTTGCAAACATACCAATTTCAAAATGTAATTACTTTGTTATAAATGAAGATATTTTGATTCCGTTTTCAGTTTTTGTCGTGATTTTACATGGACCACTAAAATACACAAAAATCTCAAATTCGATAAATTTTGCCAGAAGGTCGATTTCTATCCGACGAGGGTCATATGTTACATTGTATACATTTGTACATTTAAAGTATCAATTTGAAAAATAATTTTTCCAGAAGCAACATAGCCCATCTATAATTAAATATATACAGATGTTTTTCAATTAAGAAACAATGTTTAGATTAAGATTTAATCAATTCTAATCTATTGAATTTTTTTTAAGGAAATCTTCATTTTCTGAAAATCAGAAAATCTGACGGGTATAAAAATTACACTTGTGGAATTTGGAATGAAAGAATCAATGTATTAAAAATAATCAGCAATACATATCTTCAAATTAGTGGTAAGTGCTTTATTTTATATGATTGAATAAATCCTACAGTTTATTATCTTTTCAAATCATTCAATGAAAAGTCTCAAACTTGATCATAAAATATTTCCTGTTTCTATTTCTGTGCTGCGTTTGATATATGTTACATTGTATACAAACAGAACTGAAGTTGATATAACTTAATATTGTAGAACTTGACCAATTTTCTGAGGTCTCGAACGTGCAAGAAACATGCAGGGAATATCATCATTGCAAACTTCCCTGTTTCAATCAACCACGTTGTCAACCCAAAACAGAATGTATGATAGAATGGAAACTTGGATCTGGAACCTCAGAATATAATGATAGAATGAAAGAATCAATGTATTAAAAATAATCAGCAATACATATCTCCAGATAAATGGTAAGTGAATTATATTATATGATTGAATAAATCCTATCTATCTGATTTGCTGAGATGCAACAATGTAGAATAAAACTTTATGATCACCAGCATGTGACCGTCCAGGCTTCTATCTAAGTCTACATTAAAAGAAATTTAATTTGGAGTTGGATAACTACTTAAGATCCTTGCTCCTCTCATTCACAAAATTAAACAATAATGAAAATTACAATTGTTACGCGCTTCGTCAGCTAAAACGAGTGCAAAATGTATCGTGTAATCTATCTACTTTTCTTGTTTCATTTTCATTTTTGTTTTAATTCATTCTGACAAAGTGTCAAGAAGTTTTTTCTAATTTCTTCATTTCTTTATTAAAATTATTTGATCTTACATTTCTTTAAATGACGAGGAGAGTTGTCTATACGTATGTTTATTTAATATAAACAGTGGAAAATTCTCATTTGATCCACTAATAATGTTTCGATTCAAATCTTTAAAATGAATTGTTGTATTTATTTATATAGGCTACCATTTTGTATCTTCCGTAACTTTTGTAGAATCTTCAAAAGGCTCCCCAGAGGCAGTTTATCAAAGTGGCGACAAAGCTTTCGTTGGAGAAAATGCTACCCTTCTCTGTATTTTTTCTGGAAAGTAAGCATGTTTCCTTTATAACTTCTGACTACCCATGATTTTGCTCGATGCAGAAAATTTCATATTCCACATCATAAAATTTCAAAAGTTTTGTTTGTTTTTCACATGCATATATAGTATTTATCATATGTGTTAATAGCCCTGTTCCAAAAATTGAATGGTATAACAAAAATGGAACCTATATAACAACAAACGACAAATACATCGTGGGTCGGTATGGACGACGGCTGCAAATCATGAACGTAACTTTTGCTGATGAGGGTGTCTATAAATGTAAAACCAACAATCTAATTCAAAATCCATTCCTTAATGTTACATGTACGTACAAGTTGCTTCTTCGTAGTTTTTAAATTCTCTTTGCAATTAGATATTTTTTGGATCATAATTTATTTTTCATGAAAACAGTTTATTTTCAATCAATTTTGCAATTAGCCCCTCCGCTTTTTCCTGATGTCGGTAAGCGTTTCATGACAAAAATACTTCAGAATTTGACAAAAGAATCCACTGCTCTCCAATGCAACACTATGTCAGCAACAGCCGAAAATGATCCCATTGTAATCAAATGGATGAAAAATGGAGAGATCTTGAATAAAGGTTTTTTTTATTTATTTGTTTTGCTAGAAATGCATGATGAGTAGTGTTTTTTATAGCGTAAACATAATTCTTCTTATAATATATCTTCAAATAATAATAATGATATCAGAATCGATCATTGGCCCTGACTGTTCAAAATTAATGAAGTCCTAATACTTTTTACATAAAGAAAGTGTATGCTTAAACACTTCCTTCTATTTAATATTTTCAAATTGTTTATAAAATGTCAACATCTGGAATATCATCGGGCAATTGATAAACAAATACTATTCTTTAGTGATTCCATTGAAAATATATAATTATCTAATAACACGCTATCACTAGCAGTGCATTGTTTTATTTTATTTTTTTAACAGATGTTAGATACCAGCTTTCAGAGGACAATAAAACTCTTCATATTTACAACGATAATTCAGACGATTATGGCTGTTACACATGTGTGGAAGAAAATAGTGAAGGAATTGCAGTGGCAAATTTTTTACTCCCTTATGGTAATCTTAGAGACTGACAGACAGAGGGGCAGACATTTTCACCGTCACTGGACTTATAAATCCCTAAATGAACGATACCAAATGATTTAATTTGGAAATAAAATTATCGTTACATCGTACTCTCTTTTTAATTTTCGACCCTTCTGTAACTAGTAAATAATGCGTATGAACATATAAAGCATTAAATTTTAACGAAAAAATTCTTTTCTGAGTTTTTCATTCTTTTCTATGAACTTGTGATAACTTTCAAATTTACGATAGATGTATACATGTAGGTCTACAGAGAAAGTGAAAATATGATAAATTGTTAACATGGTATTATTTTTTCTGTTTTTCATTTGGACACAAAAAAAATCTAATTACGGACACTGTAATACAACAGAAGAGGATTTTTATGAATTCCATACGAGAGATAATACGGATACGTCGGAATTTTCAACAGACAACTGTCAAAAAGTCACTTGTAAAGTTTTTAAAATGTTATTTTACCATTTATACACATTAAGGAGGCTGGGGTGGGGAGTCAGCAAAAAACTGTTATATAAAATTCCATTTTTTAGATATATCTTAAGCTGCCAACTTTTATTTGGCAAATTTCATATATTTTAGTTTTAAAATTTGATCATTTTTAGCTCACCTGAGCCGAAGGCTCAAGTGAGCTTTTCTGATCACATTTTGTCCGGCGTCCCTCTGTCTGTCTGTCTGTCTGTCCGTCTGTCTGTCCGTAAACTTTTCACATTTTCGACTTCTTCTCAAGAACCGGTGGGCCAATTTCGACCAAACTTGCCACAAAGTATCCTTGGGTGAAGGGGATTCAAGTTTGTTCAAATGAAGGGCCACGCCCTTTTCCAAGGGGAGATAATTATGAATTAGTGAAAAATTATTGGCATTTTTAAAAAATCTTCTTCTCAAGAACCACTGGGCCAGGAAAAATGAAACTCATGTGGAATCATCCTCAGGTAGTGTAGATTCAAGTTTGTTCAAATCATGACCCCCGGGGGTAGGGTGGGGCCAAAATGGCCGATCAAAGTTTTAAATAGGAATATATAGGAAAAATCTTTAAAAATCATCTTCTCAAGAACCACTGGGCTATGAAAGATGAAACTCATGTGGAATTATCCTCAGGTAGTGTAGATTCAAGTTTGTTCAAATCTTGACCCCCGGGGGTAGGGCGGGGCCACAATGGCCGACCAAAGTTTTACATAGAAATATATAGGAAAATTCTTGAAAAATCTTTTTCTCAAGAATAACAAAGCCATGATTGGTCATATTTATATGGAAGCATCCTCAGGTAGTGTAGATTCAAGTTTGTTCAAATCATGACCCCCGGGGGTAGGGCGGGGACACAATGGCCAACCAAAGTTTGAATCCGTTTTTGTTAACATTATTTAACTCTTTACGAAAGCATTAATTTGATCGTTGCTTTTCAATGAGAGAATGAAACATATGGAGATAACGAACAATATTCAAGATCAAAAGTCCATAAAACAATTCAAAATAGGAGCAGAGCAAACACGGACCTCCAAAACATCAGAGGTGGGATCAGGTGCCATGGAGGAGTGAGCATCCCATGCCAACCGGTCACACCCGCCGTGTGCTCCTTGTCAGCAAGGTCTAAAGTCTCTAATGTTAATAATATACCATGGGTCCCACGACAACGTGTTGAGACAAGACCACAGGCATTGTGAAGATGAAATCGGTATTTTTTGCAAGGTTTTCTAGCCATAAAATTGGGAGACATTTATAAAGAATATCAGTTTTATAAAGATAAAATATGCAAAGTAAAGCAAGTAAATATTAACAAATTAAATTCTTATTTTTAAGCTGATGACGATTTACGATTGCCAATCATCGTCACATCCTCCGTTGTTGGACTTCTTTTGATCGTTATGATATTTGCCTGTTTCATTACAAGGTAAAGTGAATCATGTAAAAAAAACATAAAAAAAACTTTCAATAATATATACTAACTCTTAACTACAATAGTATTTCCTTTTAAAATGCATCATCGTAGAGTATGTAAAAGAAAACGAAATCAAGAAAAAAGTTCCACAACAGAGGAAATTGTTATGATTACCTCAGATCTTTATTCTGAACCAATTCCTGCATCGGGTGAAAATAAAATGAAAACAAAGGATCACATCATTGCTGAAGACGAATCAGCCTATTCTGTAGCTGATACGAATGACAATGAGTACTCACAACCCCTCGTCAACAGGGACAATCGAACGGGACAGGTGCGTTTTGTAAATGATGTTACCATCTCAGACAGTGAATATACTGATGCAGATTTGGGTGAATATGATGTTTTAAGAGGACAGCGAAAGAAACACTCCAAAAATACATCATCGAATTGTGATATTTATGACAGGACAAATAATGTTGTCTCTGGTATTTATGACGTCACTTCGAACACGCTGAACAAGAACGAATACGCAATGACAGATAACGACTGAAATCAACAATGCATGATTATATAAACAAATTTCCAAAAATTAATATACATGTATAAAATATTTATAAGTTTGATTTTTCATTAGGTATTAAATAAAATACATATATTTGTAATTACCATAATTAAGATGGAGATTATCCTTGCTTGAAAATTAAAAATTTTTGCTTTTCCTAAAACTTCTATCATTATGTTAACAGTGCAGTTTGATTAAAAATCATTAATTAGTATGAATTGCTAGAGTTATCATTTACAAATTATTTTCTGTCATTTCACTTACTTTAAACTAATGACTTTTTACGCACTGTCGTATTCTTTGTCTATGAAATGTGTTTTGCATCGGTATTTCTTCATTTTAATTTCGATCATGTCATGAATTGAAAAGATTTGGTTGACAATACATTATTCATCTCTTGGATTCTTGATGACGGTGAATCCATTGAACATTACCTAATTTTCTCTCTTTTCAATGCATTATTACGTCATGAAACGCTTCATTTTTGCCATATCCTGTAAATTCATTTCAAAATTACCGAATGTTTTCTTTTAATATTTCATATAGAGCACAATCTCTGAGCCAAAATATGCAATTTTATATCAAAAGCCCTGAAGATCACAAAATTTCAATTTTTATATCAAGGTCTGTGCTCATATTTCATGAAATGGGTCAGAGGGTGATAAGTCAATTTCATAATTGATATAAGAGCAGGGTGAACCTTGCTCTTAATAATCATAAACATTTTCTACCTCCAGTTAAAGCTTTAAATTTCTTTTAACAATAATGGGACTATCATTTTTAATGAAACATATGGAGATAACGAACAGTATTCAACATCAAAAAGTTAAGTTTTTCTGTCTCTTCACTTGAAATCTTGCAATTATAATTCTATAGTATTAACTTCCTAAGAATTTTTTTTTCAAATACTTTAATTCTCATTCAAAGTCAATGCTTTTGTATGTACACTGTATAGACTATTTCCTTTAAAAATAGTTTGACCGGAAATCAAAGTGTTCAGCTGTGGTTATTTTTGTTTGGCCTCTACTTAGCTGAAGAAAATATATTTTTTCTCCTATAATTCTTTTAGAGTTCTAGAGGGTATTTGTAAAACAAAATATCAATACCACAATGTGGGGTATCTATTAAAAAAAAACTGGGGGGGGGATACCCGAGCTATTTGTCTGCATAACGATTGAAAAAAAAATCAATAAATTCATTTTTCAAAAATTTCACTTTTTGTTGAACTTATGTAATATTTATTACCAATTGCATACAAATTTGACAAAGCCTGAATACTGTTACAGCGAAAATGATTCTGATTAACTCAATAAAATGGCTTCACACTAAATTTTCATAAAAAACATAAATTGGGTGATATAACTACATTTTTGGAAATAGAGTTGGGTCACCGTACCATTTTTTGAGAAAGGTTAATGAAAGGCAAATGAAAGATGTTTCTTTTTACACTTGCAAGAATTTGGTACGACCACCCACTCCGCATAAAAAAAGATTAGTTTACTTTCTAAACTTTTCACCGTGGTCCAAATACGCTTGCTAAAAATAGAAAAATGTATGCTTTTTAATGCGTGGTATAGTGATTAGCCCTTTCATGGTTTGTCTATTGAGGAAAGTATTCGAGTCATGCTCGGACTTTTTGCTTTTGATTTAAAGGTACTTGGACACAGATTTGAAGTTATTATTTTCTCTATAATATTACGACTTATATATTTTAATAGCATTTCAAACAAAAATTAATTAAAAATCTTATTTCATACAAAAGATATTAAAATTTCAAATTTTTTGGCGGGTTTGATTGACACATCCTTGCACTTTCACAAATTAATTTTATTCTTAACCCTTAGGAAAAGGGGCAATCTCGTTGTATATAAATGAAAAATATTAATACTATAATCCAGAAAATTCAGAGTAGACATGTTTGAAAGCAAAACAAACACACAATATATTGTCAGTCCATGCAGTTGTGGTAAGCAGACTGTGACGATTGAACGCACCGGGTGAATTCTAAATATAAACAATAACAGAACTCGAGCCCTGTTTACAAAAACTGTGTACATAACACGAGTGTGCTCGATTTGCTAAACACTGTAACCAGTCCTTAGTTAGGAATGACGATACTTATGAGGGAATTTTGCTTTCTAACATTTGTACTCGGAATAAAACTATTTTTCTGGATAGAAGTTTTAATATTTCTCATTAATACACACAAGATTACCACTTTTCCTAAGGATTAAGACTAAGGTGAAAATTTGTGAAAGTGCAAGGATGTGTCAATCAAACCCGCCAAAAAATTTCAAGTTTTAATAACTTTCAAATGAAATAAGATTTTTAATTAATTTTTGTGTGAAATGCTATTTATATAATAGTGTTGCATTATGCATGTACTATGCCTAAATAGTAGGCAGGGTTTGACACATGGTGCACGAGCCGGAGGCGAGTGCACTATGTGTCAAACCCTGCCTACTATTTAGGCATAGTACATGCATAATGCAACACTATTGTTATTATTATGCTGACTGTTGTAATTATTTATGCGGCAATCTATTTGACTTTTTCCTGAAAATATCGGTGCTTACACAGCGCACTTGCAAGAACTCATTCAAAATCTTCATGCTAAAATTGTTTGCATGCTTAGTTATTTTGGTTACTAGTATTTTCTCTAAAAACGTCGGGATTTTCTGTCCCAAAGCAACTCATCTTTATTTTCTGTTTTGTTAGTAAGCCTTATTTGTTTGCAGACGTCGATTCTCATTGATAATTTTCTTTTACATCCTTCAATCAAGCGTCATATAAAAAAGCGTTTTAATGACCCTATGAAATCAGTTCATCTAACGATCTGTATGTAATTAGTTTGAAAGTTTGTTGCACACATTAATCAAAAGTTCCTTAGAATAATATAACTGTTTTCAATTATTATGCTTCCTGTCAGTTTGTCTCTATATAACCCATACCCTACTATTCTCGCGTAGTAGTCTAAGGATTTATATAGCGTAAGCATACTATGCCGAAATAGTGCACGGCTTTATTTACTGAATAAAATTCTTCCATGCACATGCCGGGGATCGCACTCACGACCATGAGATTGTCAGTCCGATGCCTTATCGATTACGCCATAGAGACGATCACGGATTGATATCATTTTATTAAATATATAAACTTAATTTATACAATTGACACAAGAAGGAGAAAATAGACAAATATTATTTGAAAACAGTTATATTATTCTAAGGAACTTTAGATTAATGTGTACAACAAACTTTCAAACTAATTACATACAGATCGTTAGATGAACTGATTTTATAGGGTCATTAAAACGCTTTTTTATATGACGCTTGATTGAAGGATGTAAAAGAAAATTATCAATGAGAATCGACGTCTGCAAACAAATAAGGCTTACGAACAAAACAGAAAATAAAGATGTGTTGCTTTGGGACAGAAAATCCCGACTTATTTAGAGAAAATACTAGTAACCAAAATAACTAAGCATGCAAACAATTTTAGCATGAATATTTTGAATTAGTTCTTGCAGGTGCGCTGTTTAAGCACCGATATTTTCAGGAAAAAGTCAAATAGATTGCCGCATAAATAATTACAACAGTCAGCATAATAATAACAATAGTGTTGCATTATGCATGTACTATGCCTAAATAGTAGGCAGGGTTTGACACATAGTGCACTCGCCTCCGGCTCGTGCACCATGTGTCAAACCCTGCCTACTATTTAGGCATAGTACATGCATAATGCAACACTATTATATAAATAATATTTGTCTATTTTCTCCTTCTTGTGTCAATTGTATAAATTAAGTTTATATATTTAATAAATTTCAACCAATTATTGATCGTCTCTGTGGCGTAATCGATAAGGCATCGGATTGACAATCTCATGGTCGTGAGTTCGATCCCCGGCGTGTGCACTGAAGAATTTTATTCAGTAAATAAAGCCGTGCACTATTTCGGCATAGTATGCTTACGCTATATAAATCCTTAGACCACTATGCGAGAATAGTAGGGTATGGGTTATATAGAGACAAACTGACAGGAAGTATAATAATAAAATATATATGTCGTAATATTATAGAAAAAATATTGACTTCAAATCTGTGTCCAAGTACCTTTAAATTTGTTTTACTTTATAAAAAGTATAAATGAATAACACATTTTTCACTGGAAATAAAATATATGTGCGTGAATTGTCCCAAAAAGTCGTAGACAGGGGGAATAGTTTAGTTTTATTTTTTTTTTTTTTGTTTTTTTTTGTTGATAGATTAGGTTTCTTTTCCTGTCATAACAAAAAGTAACATCTCTCATTACGACGTGATCTCTTTTTCTGCTTCACACGTGTCTGTTACCCATCCAATATTTTTTTTATATTGAAACACCACTCTTTACTTAGGGACTTAATTTAAATTTATTACTGTCCGTTTGTTTGAGCAGATTCAAATTTTAGTCACATTTAGTCGAAAGATCACCTTACATTATAGGCAGCAGGGAAGACACATTGTTTGTTGTAGTTCGTAGCCCAAAACGTTCCCAATTGTCTGCATTTAACAAACAGTACTCTTTGATGTGGTAGCTATTTTCGGTAAAGAGGAAAAACTGTTATTGAATCTCATGCCATTAAAAAAAAATCTCTATTAAAATCTAGTGTGTAATGTCACTTCAGAACTCTTTATGTCCTGTCTCTGATGTATACAAACCATATCCAAAACAATTTATTACATCTCCGTGCGCCGGTTACGCGTTTGACGACGTCATTTTCATCACACTCAATATTAACAACACTTTGAAAATCATGACATCAATCGTCTGCATCAAGTGCTATTTATATCAAAATTTGACATATTTTTAAGATTTTGATTCTGGTTTCAATGATTTAAATTTGAGTTCAATGTTTCACATAGTACCATATGAATAAAATCAAATATTATAGTTATATGCGTACATTATTCCAAATTTTGTTCGTGCGCCGACAGACCATATCGGCCTTCATACAAATCGTTCCTATCTTATGAATATAGAATATATGTATTTAAGAATGCGCAATTTCAAAGAACATCGAATATATTATACAGTACAGGCAACGCGGATCCCGTATTTCCCGCGTCCCCGCCGCGGTATAATCACAACGCGGTATTTGGCCAGGTAGACAGGTAAACCGCGTTCCCTCCGCGGGAAATTCATCACTTACCTGTCCCCGCCGCGGTTAAATCATCGATGAATTACTGACAATTAGTATCGTAAACAAACGGGAGTTATCTCCCCGAATTGTAATTTTCCTGTAACAAAAAAAAAACAACAAACAAAAACGTGTGTTTATTAATTAATTTTGCTATGAATAGAATTTAAACTAAGAAAAATTAAGTTTATTTTTGTTTCTAAAATTACATATCAATATTTGAAATTGAATAGAAAATTTTATTAAATTGTTACGTCTTTGCAATGGTTGATTATTTTCTGTTATTAAGAATCTATCAAGAATCAAAATTAAATACTAGAAATTTTAAATTATTTTTTTTAAATCTTCATATTATATGCAAACTGTAATAAATGTTGAACTCAGACTGTTTAAGTTTCGATAAACGATTTTCAGCATTCATTTGAAAAAAAAAGATGTACATCTTTTTAAAGATGTACATCTTTTTAAAAATGTACATCTTCATATTGTTTATTAATTAATTTCGATTTATTGTATATAAAATGTACAGGCTTTTTCTTAAAGTGTCAAATTACCTGAAAACATCCGATGACGAGCATTTGCAGTTACATGTAGTGGGCACGTGAACTTAAATTTTCTTTATCCAAGATACCAAGAAAAAAAACTCTATTCTTCTTTATTTCTCATCGTTTATGTTCTGTTCCCAAATTAAGAAAACTTTTCTTTAATTTATTTCCCTTTTTTATATAAATGTGCAGGCATTTTTTCTCAAATTGTCAAATGACCGAGAAGCATTCGATGGCGAGAGTTAACTTTGAGCACGTGAACTTTATACAAGAGATCAAGAAAAAATATCGTTTTTCACCTTCATATTAACATGTATTACTTTTTAAAACAATGTCTTTCTTTTTAATTTTAATATTTCTCGATTTTCGTGTTCAATAGATAAGATAGGATGTGCAGGTGTAATGATAAACTTCACAGACGAAATTATAGTTTATATTAATAAATATTCAATGCAAAAATTCATATATTTTTGTTTTCTTTGACAAATTCTATTTCTTTGTTTATTAAGTATTAGCCGCGATCATTTCCTGTGTATAGGGATTAGCAGTGCCTGAGCAGGAAACGACATGCCCTGGGGGTTTCACACCTGTCTTAGAGTATACCTAGGGTAACGCTCGCTGGATGTGCACATCGTTGTCTAGCCATTCAACAACACATTTGATTCATTGTTTCATTATTATTTCATCGATATCATTTTCAGATGCGATATTAGCCTTGGAATTTGTGTCAAATTATTGTTGCTTTTTTTAAACGGAGTGTATAAAAAGAATAAAAGTAAAAAAAAACTTTTAAAACAAATTAATGAAGTATTTAATATTTATTAAATCAAATATTGATCCATTGCTATGTTATTTCGTGTCTGTTTATATCTGTACCAGTTAGGAGAGAGAAAGAGAGAGAGAGAGAAGAAAAATATCACAATATGGCACGTGCATGATCGTTTTTCCTCCATTTTGATCAGTATATCAATTTCTTAAGTCTAGCGAATAAAACTACCGCTGATTTATCAGTTTATTGACCATTTGTGGATTTTGTCTAAGTTTTATTGTTATTTATCCAGAGACTTGTTTATGATCCACTTTCTTCTTTCGTTTAGCATATGTACATGACATGTAATTTGAATTACTTCCCTTTTTGTCGCCAGATTACAACGACAGATTTTGGTGGTAAAAAAAATGTATTTTTGTTATAAAATTTAATTAAGAAAAACACAGTATATTAAAATTGTCGAATTATTGAAAATATTTATAAACAAAAAATTTAAAAAGGATTCTGTCTGCAACAAAAACATTGAATTCTTTATTTCATGCATTTCAATCCATGGGCTACACATGAAAAAAAACGGCTTTGTTTTACAATGTCGTAGGAAAACGCATACAGGTAATACACTCAGGTAACATCCTGTGTATTTATAGGTAGTATGTACACTAGACAGCGTCGTTCCCTCGGGGCTTCTCATCCGCCTCGAGTAAGCTCCACTCCACACCAAACTTACCTGAGGAAAACCGACCGGTAACACAGACATCTGAAAACTTGAAGCTTGGCAACTTGCTGATTAAAATAAGTTAATTTCTGTGTTGTGTGTTCAAATATTTTATATTTTATTTGTGTTTGTGTTTTATTTGAACCGGAAAAATCTGAAATTTGTTTATGTTCATTGACATGATTTTAGTAATTTTCGAAAAGAGCAGAAAATAGAAAAACATTCAAATACTAGCAATGATATTATTGATATTCTGAATAGAATGACCTGTGATTATCTTATTAACAATAACCCCCCCCCCCCAAAAAAAAAACAAAACAAAAAACAAAAACAAAACAAAACAAAACAAAAAAAAAAAAAAAAAAAAACAAAACAAAACAACAAATAAAAGTCGTCGATCTTTAGTTCATAGTCTTACAGTGTAGTGCATAATAATGGAACAACGGTATTCCTACACTTATGCGTGTTTTGTTTAAATTTAATTTTAATTATGTATCACTATTATTTATAACAGATATGTATACAGAAGTAACGGTAGTTTTCTAAATGAAACCAAATGACTGATATAATCTCGCAGATAAATAAACACATAGCTACATGTAACTGCAACTGCACGGGCTAATTGTGAACAGCGGATTACACCAGTGCATATAAAGAGAAGCGATATCATGGCATTCTTTAAATTTTAATTATACCTTTTTTGCAATTTGAAGATCATTTGGGGTGGCATGATTGATTTTGAAAATAAACTTTAAGTTAATATACATGTATTCGATAAATCATTCGACTTTATTTCATCCTATACTGTACTTGTATTACTGTTAACCGACGTGTTTGAGACTTAATTAATTTGAGTGACTATTGGTACAAAAAAAAAGAAAAAAAGAAGATGTTTTTATTAAACAATTTGATAAAACTTAAAAAATGAATTTTTAAAGAATCCATTTAATGGTATAAATCTATAATATCAATGTGCTCGTAATCCCCCCCCCCCCCTCATTTCGACACGATTAAAAATCGACAATACTTTACAGGTAAGAATTTCTTAGCTGAAGAATAACGGTAGCTGGCCCCGCCGCGGTGTAAACACGGTCTCAGGTGGCACCGCGATCAAAACCCGCGACGGTGTAACGCGGAAAGGATTAATACACCGCGGAGGGGACGCGGTCTAATACGGGATCCGCGTTGCCTGTACTGTATATATGCAAAATTTGGTTAATATTGATTGCATGTTAAAAAAGTTATAAACATTGTGTACGACTTTTTGGGACAACCCTTGTATGTAGTAATAACTCGATCATTTACCGTTTACAGTATATTATTTGAAATTTCGGATAATAAAATTATGGAATACATTCACATTGTATTCCAGTTTTGTATTTATTTTTACTACAACGCTTCTAGATCACCAGTATCATTATATATATATAATATATATATATATATATATATATATATATATATATATATATATATATATATATATATATATATATATATATATATATATATATATATAATGTAAACATTTTTTTTTAAAATTTAACAAAAGACATATTTGCAGATTAAAGGTCCCTACCAAAGTTTGACACTTGTGACGGTAAATGAAAGTCAGTTGTTTAGCTTGTCTTGAATTGATATAATTATCATTTTGAAAACAACTGTAAACATTTAAATGACCAAGTAATTCGAATAATTGAGAGATTTTCCCCCCAATATTTTATAAACGTTCTTGCATAGCCAAAAATTGGCATGGGCCCTTGGCTCTTCTCTCTCTCTCTCCCCCCCCCCCCATATTCTTGGTTAAAAATCAGTAATAAACTTCTAAAAAAAATAAATAAATAACGTTGCACAAGTTCCACTCAAAATATGAACTAGTGTCAAATTAAGGAAATCGTACTTCTTTTAAAATACAAAATGTCTTTCCTGCCACCGTCTACCATCTTTCTACATGTACAGGAAGCAAAATTCTATATATATAAAAAAAATAATAATAATAAATAAAAATAAAAAAAAAAATAAGGAAAGAGTTGGTGTTGTTAAACTTGACACATAGTCTAATACAGATAGTACGAAAAGGAGGTATCACTCAATTCACCGAAATCTACTTAAAATTAAACATGTATCCCACTTGAAGAAAATGCAACCGTGGTAAGAAAAGCTAAATAAATGGAAGGTTATATGCCCTTTTCATTTATTTGAATTTTTTATAGATGTTTTGAGACCGATCATCGTATCTTATCTCCAGCCACCCTACAGCCTTTTCACTGGACCCATTTATGATATAACGTAACTTGCTAAGTAAAACCTCATTTTATTCCTGCTAAATTTTGTATAAGAAATCTGCACAATGTGGTAAGTTACTTTATATATGTATACTATGGGTTCATTAAAATTCATGGGGACTAATTTTGGTGGATAGGTATAATCTCCTACAGGTTCATGGAGACGTAACTTCTTGTTGTCTCTTTTACCTGCAAAAGGAAATAGGACTTCGTAACCCTAATTTACTATTTTGCAGAGGATTCCGAAAATTGAGCCACCACGAAATATTATGATTCCACAGTAAATTCGACTCGAAACTTTCACGAATTGTACAAGGAAGATACTAGTAATGGGTGAGTCTATACTCGTAGCTATCAATTTCCTAAAGAGCAATTTTTCTAGTTTATAACTAGCAATTTTATAAAGAGCACTTCTTCCGCACATAATTCTGTTAAAAGTTTCCACAGTTTTGTTTCCTATTTTATTTATTGTGTATATATATATTTAGCGCAGATGACAAGAAACGACTTGGAGATGTTAATGTTATACCTTAGTTTTTCTACAAAGTACAACATTTGAGGATTAAAGATGGAGAGCCTTGTGATCAGTCTCATCTTCCTTTGTGTCAGAGACATAACCCTCTTCTGCAAAGGTGAAACTGTTTTTCATCGTATTCTAAAACCTTATTCTAATTGAAAAGCTAAAAAATATTTTTCTGATTTTTAGGAACAGAACTTATTAATTTGCCTCCTGTTATAACATCAGAGTTTGAACCGGAGTATTTTGTCCAGATCTCTCATTCTACTCCATTATCCTTGTTTTGCCAAGCCAAATACAACGTACTCAGGTTAGTAACAGTTTATTATACCTTTGCAGTAATCTAATGACGATGATAATGAAAAACTAAATACTGTAAAAACACAGATTTTTGCTGGGGTTAAATTTTCAATGTATATGAGCTATGAAGAGATCCACGAATTCATTGCTATAACAAATTGTAAAATATTATATACATAATTACATAATAACAATTCTTCATCCACGAAATCAGATTCCCACCAACCAAGAGTTTTTCCTCAAACCCGCTAAACTAAGTGATTTTACAGTAGTTAATTATGTCAAATAGAATACGATGATCTCGATGTTTTATATCTTATTCATTTATTTAGGTATCATTGGCATAAAAATTATTCAAAGATTGTGAAAAATGACCGAGTTTCCTTCAATCAGTCAACTGGAGAAATCAACTTCAAAAATCTAGAAAAGGAGGACTTTGGTGTTTATTATTGCACGGCACACAATACGTTTGGAATTTCAGTCTCACTGTTTGTTAAATTATTGCAAGCAGGTATAGCAATTATAATAGTTTTTCAACATGTTGTCAGATCGAGAACTGATTAATAGCTATTTCGGATCATCTTTGAACTTCAATAAATGTGAATAACATAATTGGAATGTTCTGGAAATTTTGAATACCGCAGCAGTAGCAACAGAAATTTTTCAATCTTTAAAAAACCCGGAAAATTTCTCCTATTTATTCAACTATTCCAAGATACAATATTAGTCTACATATTTGTTGAAATAATAATACAATATCTAAAATCACATGCTTGTATTTCATTGTTGATTCATTAAGATTATTCCTACTGAAAAAAAGTTTCAGACAGTTTTAATATTTTAAAGTACGAGGGTTGTCCCAAAAAGTCGTAGACAATGTTTATAATTTTTTAAGCATGTAATCAATTCTTACCAAATTTTGCATAGACATAATATGGTCAATGTTCTTTAAAATTGTGAATTTTTAAATGCATATCTTTCATATTAATAATATTAGGACGATTTATATGAAGGCCGATAAGGTTAATATACATCAGAGACGGGAAAAAAGAGTACAGAAGTGACATTACACACTAGATTTTAATAAAGAATTTATTTTTAAATTGCACGATTGCACGATATTCAATGAGAGTTTTTCTACTGTATCGAAAATAGTTAATTACGGATAATTGGGGACAATTTGGACCGAGAACAACGTCAAACAACGTGTATTCTCTGCTGCCTACAGTGTAAGGCGATCTTTCGACTAAAGGTCGACTGAAAATTGAATCTGCTTTCAAAAAAAAAACAAGTAAAAAACAAACGGACAGTAGTGAATTTAAATATGTATGTCCCTTAGTCAAGAGTGGTCTATCACTTAGAAAAATTATTGAAAGTTAATACACGCGAGTGAAGCAGACAAAGAGATCATGACGTTATAAGAGACGTAATTTACGCCTGCTTTTGTGCGCTGGTGTACACTTATATGTTATATTCTTTCTTTATTTTTTCATAATTTTCTTATAAGATGTGATATCATCATGAAACTTGAAGTGCATGATCATAAAATATTACTCTTTGCTATGACAAGGAAAGAAATTTCATTAAGCAAAGAGAAAAAAACTGTTTTCTCTGTCTACGACTTTTTGGGACACCCCTCTTAACCACCAAAATTCCAAAGAGAATTAATTTTTAATCGTTTATATGGCAACAATATCGATGAAACGCAAGATACATTCAAACATAGGGCTCTATCTTGATCACATGTTCCCTGCTTCTATCTATTTGCTGCGTTTGGCACCATAACTTAATCTTGTAGATCTTGACCAAAGTTCTCCAATATCGAACGTGCAACGATCGTGCAGGGAATATCATCATTGCAAACTCCCCTGTCTCAATCAACCACGTTGTCAACCCAAAATAAAATGTATGATAGAATGGAAGTATGGATCTGGAACCTCAAAAAGTGTCTTATACAACGAATCTGTAACCTTGGATCGTGAAGGTAACTCTAAACTATCCATTATTAATTATTAAAGGTTTCAAAAATAAAATGTTTCAGAAGTTACAACGCCCACTTATACTCTATAAAATATATGACATTGTACTTCAATTAAGAAACCATATTTAGAGCAAGATTTAACGTGTTCAAATCTATTGAAAAAAATCATTTCATCATTTAGGACATCTTCATTTTCTGAACATAAGCAAATCTGCCGGGAATAAGAATTACACTTGTGGAATGTGGAATGAGAGGATAAATCTATACAGAATGGTCAGCATTACATATCTCAAGATAAATGGTAACTGACTTTTTGGGTTTGCAATAATTAGGCGTAAAAAGTTATTGTTATTTGATATCAGTGGTCAAATAGACATAAATATTTGAAGGAATCACTGTATAGTTTGTTTGGTATGCTTCAGCATCAACGATAGTTGGAAACATCGGCGAAGTCCGTTATGCATAAATTACCTCACATTTCCAACTATCGTTGATGTCCCTGACATACTCTAAACTAGACAGTGATTCCTTATACCTTATAAACATATTTCCATTTCTTGTGAAGGAAAATATTAAATTAAGTTTTTAGAAATGTTGTCTAATTATACATTACATGAGACCTCCCGTGTCAATTTCAATAGTACCCACCCACCGACGTCAGACACAAAGACAGCTGCACGAGATTTATAGCACATTAGGCATTCTTAGCTCCTAAAATTTCGGTTTGCGAAATTTATATTCCGGTTGAATTATCAAGAAATCAACTCAACTTACTTTTAAAAAGTTATCACAGAGAAAACAAATATAAATGGAAATATTGTTGTTTAGTTTCTCTTACCAAAGTTGCATCATATTTAAATTTGGCGAAACTTTACAATTATTAGAAGACTCGTTCTGTCTATAAGCTAAATTCACAAAATTAAACACTTTTAAAAAGAAAATAATAAATTGCATATAATTAACAAAATTCAAATAAGTTTAAATGTGTTCATGTGTGTGTTTTGGGGGATCATATAGAGCATTTTTATCTGCTCTACAAAATAAAAATGGTTATCAAGCGTACAGTCTTAATGACTGCATTGATTTCAAATTTTGAGTATTAGCATATATTATAATGTATGAGGCAAATTTCGACAATGTACCCGCCGAAATATGGCTGAAATATTGCCGACTTGGCGTTAAAGAATATAAAATCAATCAATCAATCGACAATGTAATTTCTTTTGATCTCTTGTATCTTTTTTTCCCTGGAAAATTATTACAATGACCTTTCACTAGTACTAGTGTTACATTAATACAAATTGAATTTTTTCGTTCATTGATAGAGAGTACAAATCATTGGATATTTCACAAATCAACTAAATAGTGTAAATGTTCACCGGGTATTACCAAAAAAAATCCTATTAGAGGAAAGTTTTATTGAAAATAGGATATCTAATCTAGACTACTCTTAGTACATAAACAAGAGTTATCTCTTTATGGAGGCTGGAGGTCAAAAAATTAACCATCAGATATAACATTTTTTTTAATTCTTATGCTGTTAACTTTTATTTTGCAAAGAAAAATTTCATATATTTTTGTTTTGAAATTTGATCAGTTTTATATATCTTCTTATAAAGCTCTTCTTCAGATGGAGATCAATATAGTCTAATTTACACTTTAAATTGATCCAATATGACAAATTCTTACCCAATTAAATATTACTTCCAACATTTGGTGTGGGCAAAAAACCCCAATGATTTATCGATATAAAGACCTAATCAGTTAAAACAATTTATCATTCGATAAGATACTGACTGACGTTTTCATACTATTTGTTAAAAATGAAAAACGTCAGTCTGCATTTGATCTAATGATATATTGCATTTAATGATTATTAAATTATATAGATAGATTGTATTCGCTGATTAGGCTATTATATCGATCAAATAACTTGCGAATTGATGACTTCAAATGTGACTGTTTCGTCAACTTGTTGGTTAATAGCTTGCTTCGTTTTAAAAATTGATCGTACATAAAGCATGACCAAAGACAAGGTACTAGTAAGTATTTTATGAGTTCCATATTTTGCTTGTTGGTGTTACTGGTTTCGGTGACACTTTATGATTTCTAATTTTCCAAAACTTTTATATTACTTCTCGAATACACTGTAGTACAGTTCTCCTGAATTTTCGCCTTCACTGCTGTAAATATTTTTGTAAGTAGTAAAGAAAGAGGCTTGGTATCTAACATTTACTGAAAGCAGAAAAAAGAGTTATGTTGTAATCTTCAATTATATGTCTTTCAAGCTTCAACTTTTGAAAAATGATGGAATTATATACCACTAATTATCTTTAAAGAGGTTTTTGTAGAGTCTTCTGAAAGCATCCTGCCAGCGGCTGTTTATCAAAGTGGCGATAATGTTTTCGTTGGAGAAAATGCTACCCTTCTTTGTATTTTTTCAGGAAAGTATGCATGTTTACTTAATAATTTTCCACTGGTTTTCCGAAATTTTGCTCGATGAATAAAAACATTATAATTAACACATCAGACAATTTCAAAAAATTTGTTTATTTTTTCACATGCATGTAAAGTATTTTTTGTTAATAGCCCTGTTCCAAAAATAGAATGGCAGAACAAAAACAGAACCAACATAACAACAAACCACAAATACATTGTCGATCAGTACGGACGTCAGCTACACATCATAAACGTAACTTTTGCTGATGAGGGTGTCTATGAATGTAAAACTAAAACCAACAGCAATCTAACTCAAAATCCATTCCTCAATGTCACATGTACGTTGAAGTTGCCTCTTCAAAGTTTTTAAATCTTTTTTTTTTTTTTGAGATTATACTTTTTTGATTCATAATTTTTTTCATGAAAACAGCTAATTTTTCTTTCCAATTTTGCCATTAGCCCCTCCAATTTTTCCTCATGTCGGAAAGCGTTTCATGACAAAAATACTTCAGAATTTGACAAAAGAATCCACTGTTCTCCATTGCAACGCAATGTCCGCAACAGCCGAAATTGATCCCATTGTACTCAAATGGATGAAAAATGGAGAGATCTTGAATGAAGGTTTTTTGTTTTATTAGAAATGCATGACGAGTAGTGTTTTCTAGCGTAAAAATTATTGTTCTTATATAATTATATATTCAAATGATAAAAATATCAGAATCGATCATTGGTCCTCTGTTCAAAATTAATGAAGTCCTACATTGTAATGTTTCGTAGGTAAAGAAGGTGTATGCTTATACATTCCCTTCTATTTAATATTTTCAAATTGTTTATAAAATGTCAGCATATTTAATCACATCAGGCAATTGATAAGCAAATTGTTATTCTTTTTAAAAAAATAAATATTATACAATTATTGCTGGGTTTTGAGGTCAATACAATGATTTAGCCATCTGAGGAGTACAATATTCACCGAGCCCGAAGGGCGAGGTGAATATTGTACTTCGAAGATGGCTAAATCATTGTATTGACCGAAAAAACAGCAATAATTGTTTTATTATATGATTCACTTATAATATGATACAGCTCATTACTTGTTTGCATTTTATTAAGTCCTAGCCAAATACAAGAGAGAAGCAGAATTAAAATGTTAATAAACCTTACCAGTCGTATTAATTTGAATTTTTTTTTAAATCAATTTAAGTAGCCATGAAAGAAATATATAATTTCAGTCCTTTTATTGGATAGATTTTGAAAGGAAGGAGTATTGCCAAAAAGTAAAAAAAACATTGTTCAGTAAAAGTGTTGCAGGGGGAGGGGTCCATGCATCCCCTCTTACCACCCTCACCTAAAATATATATTCGCTTATGTTTTGTTCACATGAAAATAAAAATCATAGTCGTTTAAATAGCTTTCTAAAACAATTTGTATCAATTTGGAATTCCCCAATCTATTTTTAGATCAATGTAGGGGAAATAAATCATTGTATTGACCTGGAACGTCACGTGCAAGTCAATACAACGTAATATTTTTCTAACATAGTTGGATCTCAGCCAATCAGAGAGATGGAAATTATTTAATCATATAATAAATATGTATATATATAATCACACGCTATTACTGGCAGTGCATTGTTTTATTTTATATATCTTTTTTAACAGATGTTAGATACCAGCTTTCAAAGGACAAGAAGACTCTTCATATTTACAACTTTAATTCAGACGATTATGGTTGTTACACATGTGTGGTAGAAAATAGTGAAGGAATTGCAGTGGCAAATTTTTTACTCCCTTACGGTAATATTTTTTCTCAGTTACTGGATTTAGATTAAAATTAAAAGTTGATGCAATATCATAGGAAAAAAATATGAACAATCGGTAAAAGAACGGCATCAAGTGATTGAATGGCGCTGAATGGCAAATACATGTAGTTTTCACTAACATTTCATTTATCTGACAGTGTGCATTCAGTAAACCTAATTGACTGTTCATAGTAGAACTTTCATATCAGTCAATTAAAGATCTTTATAAATGAACATATTTCAGATTTATTGATTGAATAGTTTGGCGGTTTACTCATTTGTTTGGCACCTAGTAAGATACAGTTGAGTTAAATTTCCTTTTTCATTTTCTGAGGAAACAAGTTAATTCAATACGAAAAACCCGGTATATAATTAATAATTCTGTTTTCAATATATTTTCCTTCTCTTTGTCTATATATTAACCTTTGCCAAACCATACTCTACGGAATATCAATTTCAGGCCTACTACCTAATTTTATTTGAAAATAAAAAAAACAATGTTATATGTTTATTTCTAGAATATATTTTAATTTGTTTTTTAATGCTATGTTTTTAATGTTTTTCGAGAAATTGAATTACCGAGTAACCCACTTATATCAAGCGATAATAGAAAGATTTCAGTGTACATATATTTCAATATTAAAAATCTATTTTGTAAAGGGACTTGAAAAAAACTTGAAATAAACTTTTATTTATAATAAAGCAATGTGAAATGAAGACATGTTAACTAACTCTATAAAATATTAAGTAAAAATGACTGCTGATCTAAAAGACTAGGTTACTGTTTTGCATTTGATTTTATCAAGCAAACAACTATATTGCAATATAAAAAAAAACAACATAGTTTCCTTTGAGTTCCACAAAGTGAACTCAGTAATCATTTGATATTCGTATGTTTCGAATTTTAGCTTCCTCCGATAATCATCTGTCAAGTAAGTAAAATTTATACTTTTATAAAGAAAATTGTGTTCAGGTGTAATATCGATATCCTTCTGACAAAGAGAGATAACTTTTCGAAGAAATTATTTCAGGCAATTCACTGAATAGTGTTTTCAGACTTTAATAATGAGGACCATTTTTATGTTCAAGTCATCCTTATCATCCTTAGGGACGCTTTAAACACTAACATAAGTGCTTATTGAACTTGGAGAAAAAATGTATCATATAAAGGTGTCCATATTGAGACTTTTTCAATCATCAATCATTTATAATATAGGGCACCTGCCTCATTTCTGCAGGAATTGTTTTTAAAGATAATGGACTATTTATGAGCAGAAATCACTGCTGTTTACTTACATTGGGAAAAATTAATGAAAATAATGAATTCAATTACTTATTCTTGGTCTTATATAATGCTAAAAATATTTTAATCTATTACAAATCGTGTAATTAGCTGTAAATATCATTTTTTGAATCTTACTTCTAAAGGCAGATCACTCTAACTGCATAAAAATACCCTATAAGGAGAGTTCTTTAGTGTGCAGTGTTTAGAGCTTGCTTAAATCCTGAATTTTTTTTAAATGGCTGAAAAAATTAAGTTTTTTTTCAATATTTTGCCTAGACCACTACTTCTGATTCAAATCTGTAACTATATAATTAAAGAACCAATAAGATGTTTTATATTTTGAATCGAGGATACTAGAAATTAAGCTTTTATTTTAAATGTTTGGCTGGGGGTATCAAAATCCATTTTCTTCAAAATTCAAGAACATTGCAATTTCTTAAAACCTGTTCCACAATACTGTATCCAAAGCTATAACAGTATATAAACTTTTTCATTTGAAATGAAGGCACTAAGTTTCTTATTTACAGTGGATCTTCAGATATCCGGACGCCAGTTATCCGGATGCTTCAGTATCCGGTCGATTTTTCGTCGGGACGGAATTTTTAAAAGTTATTTTGTCTTGTTTAACTGGCAATTCAGATATCCGGACGCTTCACATATTCGGACAAATTAACTAGAAACAAAAGCGTCTGAATAAAAGAGGCTTCACTGTATATTGACTTTTGGAATGGAACATTGGGTCTTGATAAGTTAATTAGCAAGGTCATTTTAGGGATATACTATCTAAAAATGTTGAATACGTTCCAAAACATGGTGGCCTCGGGTTAAAGCTGAATGAGAAAGATTTGCAAGATCATCCAAAACAGGCAGAGGCAGGTTTTTCTAGTGAATTGTGCATTGAAATAAGCATCATTTTCTTCTATTATCAGATGGAAAAGAAGATAACACTTGTCTGACCATAATTTAACTTTACATTTGTTTCTAAGGTTACGATTACCTGAATCTATTTATTTGTCCTTTTTTCTTTGGACCTATATGACAATATGATTTAATTCTTACTTTTATGTATTAAATTTTAGCTGGTGTTTTGCGGTCTGTATTAATAGCTATTGCAGCTTTTGTTGGAATTCTATTATTAGGTGTAACAGCCATATTCATATATAAAAGGTAAGTGAATTAGTGTGCTGTTCAGAATATTTTAAAATTGTTGAAATTCATGTCAGTGAACGAAAACAATTTAGTGATAACTAATACTTTTGTAGAATTTTCATTCCTACAAAAAACAAAGATTTAGCCGTGCGATTCAAGCTCCACAGAACCAGCAATCTGTACTTGCAACACGACTCTACTGGTCCTATAACTGAGGAACCTGAATATTCATATGTTGAAATTCAAACTGAACGGACAGATATTGATAGTGTGGAAAATAAGACACAAATTCAGGACGTAGACGTTTGTACAGAAAATAACTACAGTATTTTGGGAAAGTGCAGCACTTCGCCGTTGGACTTTACTGAATCTAACCTTTATGATCATTCAGAAAATGTCAGTGGAATATACAGTAGAACATATAAAAGACGAGATGATAATCAAATGATTGATAGTGAATGATGTATTCCATATGGAGAATCAGTCTTTATTTCTATGTGTTTATGGAAAATGATTATCGAAAATATCTTATGCAGAATATAAGTTGCAGGGTCATAAAATGTTTAACAAGAATTATGGGAAGTACTAGTAATACTTTGTACAAGAATTTCTGATTATGTAAGAGGCCAATCTTGAAAAGATTAATTCATTTGCAAGAAACTTGTTTTCGATTTTGACTTAAAATACACCAAGTCATCATGAAAATAGATTGTAGAGATTGTAGAGAATTTTAATTGAGAATTTTGCATTTTAACAAACAAGAGTAAATCGGTTTAAACATAAATTAGAGTAAATTTCCGTTATTTCCCGATCATGAAAGGAACACAAGGTGGGTGTGAAAGGTCTGCAGGGGATACTTACTCCCTCATGGCACATAATCCGGCTGCTGTTTTAGATCTCCATGTTTGCTCCTAAATTTGTATTTTTAAAAGGATTTTTTAGCTTGAATATTGGTTGTTGCCTCCATATATTTCATGATATGTTTTAGAAAAGCGGGAAATTATTTCTTGGAAAGATGCGAATGTTTTATCATAAAAGTGTACTTTTAAGGTATAGTGGGTCATTGATCCATGTTTTTGAAATCCCAAATTATAACTTATTGCAAATTTTTAGGATTATCGTTCAATAAAATGGAGCAAAGACCAATTTGTATCTAAAAATGTTGTTAAAGTACTCGTATGTGAAAATTATCTTTTTTTTGATAGTGTGTGTATGCCTTTTCATAGGCAAATAATTTTAGTCTTTGCAGAATTTCTGTTTTAAATTGTAGAGATTTTGCATAAAGTTAGATTAAATATCAAAGAAAATGTTAATATTATTGAGATTTTATCTTTCAATCCATGTTATTCATACCTCACATGCCTTTGTTCGCCCATCTTCTTTGTCATGAGTGCAGAAATATTCAATAAAATGCATTTGAATCAGACTGTTGATCAGATTTGGTTCATTAATAGACACTCCAATGGGGAATCACATTTCCTGAAATTTAAGCTCTAAATAGAGACTATGGATCAAAATATATTCGATTGAGGAAACAGTCTGAACAATGACACATCGCTCTTCCCATAAAGACATGGTTATCGTCCTGCGATATGTATATATTTTGCCAAATAAAGTCAATGCCAATAAAAATAATCTGTTGAATATATGTGTAATCAGGAATAAAGGGCAATGAAAATTTTCGTTCTTGGCAGCATTCTCATTTATATTCATGGTAATGTATTTCAATTAAAAATGTACTTTACGAATTGTATAAATTTAATTTTGATAATGTTCTTTAATTACAATTAATTGTTTATACATATGTATATTAAATTCCCATATATGTTACATGAATTAGATGAGTCTTTGATTAGTTTTGTTACTGACCAATAGGAGTATGACCATTCAACCTTCCTCCTGTGATAACGTCCGAGTTTAAACAAGAGTATTTCTTGCCTCGTTTTCATTCTTCTCCTTTGACTCTACTATGTAGTGCTCACAACGGTGCAATCACGTGAGTACGTTAAACTTTACTTTTTATCCTTAAGTGACAGTAACAGTGAAAATTATTTACAAACAATATATAAATTGAAATTTATAATGCAATGAAGGAAACAATACACAGAATTACTACAGGTACCATTGGTTTAAAAATGACATGAAATTCAAGAACATTGGGCGTATTGTAGTGAACAAGAAAACTGGAGCAATCTTCTTCCAAAATCTCACACAGAGTGATTTTGGTGAATTCTATTGTTTGGCAGAAAATAAATATGGAACTTTGGTATCCTTGTTTGTTAAAATCTCTGAAGGGAGTGAGTATAAAACGTTTCTTTAAATAATTTCTTACAAAAAATTAATTGCATAGGATCTTTTGATTTTCGAAGACAAATATAGTTTTGTGCTCTTGGATTTACATTGCAAAATTAGCTTTCAGGTTTACTCATAAGATATATTTGTTAGTTGTTGATAAATTTCCTACGAAGACACTGACAAACTTGTGAGGAACACCACCATTGTCAGTTGAACTGTATGGATAAACCTAGATGTGAGCCGAGAGAATCGTGTGATATAGAATGGAAATATGGCATTGGAACATTGAATACTGTATTCATAGGAAAGGAAACAGCAGTGGACGGTGAAGGTAACAAATTATGAACATGCTATTACATCATTGTGTAAGGAAAAATGCTATTTATATCTGTTAAAGCCGTGGCTAGCTATATGAGTTCAAGGGCAGCATACGCTTTTGTCGGAATAAGGGCTGCCTGAGGCCGTTAGGTTCAATGGTCGACAAAACGCATTTTGCCCGAGAACATAGTCAATAAATGTTTGCTATAGCTTTTTTTATTTTTTCTTACACACATGCATTTTGTACTGTCTTCCGTGATGTAACTTTAGGTCCGTCACTGTTGAACACCATTGAATGTAAAAGAGATCAAGTTCCGCCCATTCTGTGATGTAAGAAGTCCATCATCTCACCCAGCGGTCAAAGTTGAGTGCACGGGACCCATAAACACTGGCCACTGGCTGTGTTAGACAGGTGGCCGCTTAAATGAGTTAAAATATAGTGAAAAAAAATTGAATGGGCGGGATTGAAACTGGCCGCTCATGGGGATTGGCCGCTGGGTAAGGGTGGCCGTAACAGCAGGTGCGACGTCGCACTGTACTTTATAGTAAAAGACAATTCAAATTTACATTTATGCCCCTCAATAATTTTACTCGTGTGTACATAAAAACAAACAGTTAATAAATGGTTATCCTCCCCAACACACAATGTTTGATGAACCCTGTGCTTATGTAAAATTTAATGATTTTTTTTCATGAGATAGTAGGTGCTTTTGATGAAAAAAATAAGATAACGTTGTATTTCACGGAGTGCTTATTTTGTATTATAATATATATTTTTATTACATGATTGAATAATTTCCATCTCTCTGATTGGCTAAGATCCAACTATGTTAGAAATATAATACGTTGTATTGACCTGCACTTGACGTTCCAGGTCAATACAAGGATTTATTTCCTCTACATTGATCTAAAAATAGATTGGGAAATTCCAAATTGATACAAATTGTTTTGGAAAGCTATTTAAACGACTATGGTTTTTTTTTCATGTGAACAAAACATAAGCGAATATATATTTTAGGGTGAGGCTGGTAAGAGAGGATGCAGGGACCCCCCCCCCCCCCTCCAACACCTTTACTGAACAGCATTTTTTTTTTACTTTTTGGCAGTCAGTTTTCCCTGATAATACTTCTTCTTTTCAAAATCTATCCCATAAAAAAAATGATACTATATATTTTTTTCATGGGAACTAAAATTGATTAAAAAAAGAACATTTCAAATTGGTACGACTGGTAAGGTTTATTCACATTTTAATTCTGCTTCTCTCTTGAATTTGGTTAGGACTTATCGGTAATTAAATACAAACAAGTAATGAGCTGTATCATTTTATCAGTGATTCATATAAAATAATTCTTGCTGTTTTTCGGTCAATACAATGATTTAGCCTTCGGGTTTGGTGAATATTGTACTCCTCAAATGGCTAAATCATTGTATTGACCTCAAAAAACAGCAATAATTGTATATTATATTTTATGAAATAATAATAATAATAATAATCAAAGTAAAAAATAAAACAAAACCAAAAAAAAAATTAAAATAGAACAACAGATAGGATTCAAATCCTTGGATACAAATTCAAAATTTTTTTTCTAAATATCTTTCTAAGAAACAAGTAAGACTAACAGACAGACAGAGGGACAGACAGTTAAATAATTTAAGGAGACTAATAAATAACATGAAGATTCCGAGTGATCATTTGGAAGAATTTATCGTTACATCTTTTTAAGTGGTGAAGGGTTGGCATTCATTTTTATTTGCTTTTTTGACAGTACTACCGGTATATAATAAATACGTATGAACGTATGAAGCATAAAATTTTCAACGAATAGACTTGTTTGTCATTGATTTTCTGATAAGTCTCAATTCACAATATATACATAGATAAATAGAAACGCAACACCCTAATTTTAGGGTGAAAATTATATACGGGTTATAACTATGTACCAAAAAAGTTGATAAACGGTTGAATGATTTTCTTTCCATTACCGGAAGTTGCTTTTAAGCCCTCTTAACAGAAATCAAAATTTTGCATTTTTGATAAATTTTTTAGCAATATTTTGGGTTTTCAAGGTTTTGTAGCTGTTCATTATAAGTATTGTACTGAAATCCCGGGGGGGAAATCCTTCTTTCTTTTCCGGATGTGATGCCTATATTTCCTCAATATGACTTATAACAAGTATTTGCATTGCCAATGCTGGTAATTCTCAAAATAGAGAAAAAGAAGAGCTTCAGATGCAAATAAACACTATGTAACGACTCATCAGGCTCTTGTGTTTCAATAACCTAAATGACAGTTTCTTGACCGGAAGTCCAAGAGTTACAGCACTACTCCAAGTTAGAGAAAATTCGACCGCAATATCTGAAAAACATGCATTTAAAAATATCAAGAATATTAATTTCGCTCAGATTAAGACATTAATAAACCTAATGCATGGTAGAAATCGGGCTGCATTTGTTGTATATGGCGGACTAGCACATTTTATTTAAATAGTCGGAAGGGGGGATGTTGATGTTTTAAGAGTATGTTACTTTCTAAGGTCTAAAAATAAAATTCAACGTTTAAATTAAGCATGAATTTTTGGGTAAATTTACTTTTTACCAAAACATATTCATTTTTAATGTTATCATTAAACTTAGAAAGTAACACATAACTCTTAAAACATTCCCCTTCTTGCTATCAGTCATTTTGAGGAAATATAGGCATCACATCCGGAAAAGAAAGAAGACTGAATTTTTTCCCGGGATTTTGGTACAATACTTATGATTCACAGATACAAAACCTTGAAAACCCAAAATATTGTTAAAAATTAAATTAAAAATGCAAAATTTTGAATTCTATTAAGAGGGCTAAAAAGCCAATTCCAGTAATGGAAAGAAAAGCATTCTACCGTTAAATAACTGATTTGGCAAGGTAAAAGATGTGTTAACTTTTTTGATACGTAGTTATAACCCGTATATAATTTTCACTCTTAAATAAGGGTGTTGCCTTTCTATTGATTGTGAGTATACATGTCGGTCTACAGAGATTGTAAAATGTGATCATTTTTTTAAATGGTATTCTTTTTTTTTTATTGGGTGCATATCATTACCGCTACATTTTCGAAATTTTCATAACCGCTACATAGTCATTACCGCTACAAAAAACGTTACATTACCGCTACATATAAAACTATACATTACCGCTACATTGCCTATTTCGTTGGCCATCAACTTATGCGTGTACAGATTGATTTAAAGTATGTAATATATAATAGTATAAGTCCTGTATCCCTGCTCACCACGGGGAGGTGAAAGTAGCACTTTAAGCCATATGGGTTTTGTTTAATTGAATTTTTTTATTTGAAATACATTCTTTTTCATAAAAAAACTTTTGAAATTTTAAAAATTAAATCAAGCACTGCCCATAGATAAAACTCACAGTCTTCGCGTTCTTCTGTTTAGAATTCAAATCGAAATTGTAGTCCACTACATATTGAGTGAATTCTGTTGATTGGTACTAATAACCATACCTGGCTAGTTCAATATGTAGCGGTAATGAGTTGTTTTCGGCTGGTTCAATATGTAGCGGTAATTTGTTTTCGGCCCAAAAAAATGTAGCGGTAATGAGTTGAATTTTTTGGCGATGTAGCGGTAACGTTGACCTCCCTTTTTATTTATAGACACAAATTACGGACACTGTAATACAACAAAAGAGGATTTTCACAAATTCCAAACCAGAGAAACTACGGTGACTTGGAAATATCCAACAGAGATGAATCGAATAAAAGTCATTTGTAATTCTTTTTGTTAAATTTTGGTAGCATATCTTAATTAAAATGTAAGAAGAAAAACTATTACTAAGTGTGAAAATACCAGACATTAAGTGACTAGTATAATCAGTCAAAATGGGTATTTTAGCAAGTGTTCAGCCATTAAATTTTGAGGCAGATAGACAAAGGAAATTCAGTTTTATAGTATGCATCTCTCTTAGGTATTTCTTTTCGCACTTCGTATGATTCTATCCATTGCTCTTTCTTATCATTTTCCTTCACTGTCCGTCTTTGAAAATAAACAACATATGTACAAGACAACAGATAAGTACAACTGTACCAGGTAGGTATAAAGCAGTATACTTAAGGTTGACAAACTGCCGTGCAATCAATTTGCAGTGGGCGGAGCTAGTAACTACAATTCTCCATATTGTATATTCATGGCCAAATTCCAAGAAATCTCAATATAGCTTTTTAACTCTCTATACGTTTATCCAAAAAAGAAGTACATTTAATCGTTGATGTTAACCTATTATTTAAGTAACTTGGACCTATATAAAATGGTATATAGTTCAGGGACTGTGTATGTAAAGTTTCTTTTTGAATGAGTACCGGTAGAGGAAATTCAAAATTTATCTATAACTACATGTATACGTATTTCGTATTTCTATGCTTCTTTGATTCAACGCCGCCAATCAACCTATCAGCTTTGAAAAGGTTGTCCAATAAGCGAGGGCATTGCTTAACATCGATCGGGATGAAGAGCGAAAAGAAGCAGTTAACTGAAATCTATGCAATTTCCTGCAAACTAAATCATGAAATCGAATTAACAAATGAACTTTTTTTATTTTTATGCTGACGATTTACGATTGTCAATCATCATCACATCCTCCGTTGTTGGAGTTCTTGTGATCGTTATGATATTTGCTTGTTTCATCACAAGGTAAAGTGAATCATGTAAAAACATTAGAATATTATACAATTGTTGCTGTTTTTTGAGGTCAATACAATGATTTAGCCATCTGAGGAGTACAATATTTAACGAGCCTGAAGGGCGAGGTGAATATTGTACTTCGAAGATGGCTAAATCATTGTATTGACCGAAAAAACAGCAATAATTGTTTTATTATGTGATTCACTGATAAAATGATACAGCTCATTACTTGTTTGCATTTTATTAAGTCCTAGCCAAATACAAGAGAGAAGCAGAATTAAAATGTGAATAAACCTTACCAGTCGTATCAATTTGAAATGCTTTTTTCAAATCAATTTTAGTTGCCATGAAAGAAATATATAATGTCAGTCTTTTTTTATAGGATATATTTTGAAAGGAAGGAGTATTATCAGGGAAAACTGATTGCCAAATAGCAAAAAAAAATTGTTCAGTAAAAGTGTTGGAGGGGGGTCCCTGCATCCCCTTTTACCACCCTAACCCTAAAATATATATTCGCTTATGATTTGTTCACATAAAAAAATCATAGTCGTTTAAATAGCTTTCCAAAACAATTTGTATCAATTTGGAATTTCCCAATCTATTTTTAGATCAATGTAGAGGAAATAAATCCTTGTATTGACCTGGAACGTCACGTGCAGGTCAATACAACGTAGTATTTTTCTAACATAGTTGGATCTCAGCCAATCAGAGAGATGGAAATTGTTCAATCATATAATAAATGGGAAATATATATTCGACAAATGTTCACTGACTTACACATGCTTACTTTTAAATACGATATTATTTACTTTCAAAATGAATCATTGTAGAGTAATTAAAAGAAAAGGAAATCAAGAAAAAAGTTCAACAACAGAGGAAATAATTACCTCAGATCTTTATTCTGAACCGATTCCAAAATCAGGTGAAAGTAAAAAGAAAACGAGGGATCACATCACTGATGAAGACGAATCAGCTTATTCTGTAGCTGATACTAACGACAATGAGTACTCACAACCCCTCATCAACAGAGACAATCGAACGGGACAGGAGCATTCTGTGAAAGATGTTACCATTTCAGACAGTGAATATGCTGATACAGATTTGGGTGAATATGATGTTTTAAGAGGACAGCGAAAGAAACACTGCGCCATGGTTAAAATCGGTAGCCGCCATGATTAAATTTTATTGCATCTCAGTCCTGACATCTACTTTTTTTTTAATGACTTGAGTAGTTAATTGTGTTTATACTATGACTGGCGTGCTTCTGGCATGCCTCAAAGGAAAGCGGACTGTGCTAAAGTGTGCTAAACAAACACGTAGATCATTAATGGGGGACAATGCTGTGAAGCGTGACAATCAATGGAGAGTCAATCAGGCTCAGCTGATCAGATTATCATTTTTTTTTTAGATTTTATTATCCTGTATACATGTAAATAATTTTGGGGAACTTCAACATGTTCACTACATGATTAGATATATAACGGGTTTATAAAATGACGAGCATGATAATCGTCATGCATGCTGTGTCAGAAAAAAATACTCTGAAAAAATTTCATATTCCTTTTTAGTTAATCAATTTCTCATGCTCTGATTTTTTAAGCTTTAACATTTATTTTATCTTTTTGATAAAATGTGCATAGAACCTATGTCTCAATTGCCGTCTTAGCATGCTTAGTTTTAATCACCGGTATAGTCGTAGTTTTAGAGTTACTTCCCGTTGTTATGAAACGTCGCGTGGCGCTATTTTTAGCACCGGGCACGTGGACAAAACTTGGTGAAAAATGCAATATCTAGAAAAATGAAAGGTTTAGAAAAAAGGGACTCTGGTCCAAATGTCCCTTTGTATGTTAACTTAGAAAAAATACTACCCATTCATCAGTTTTAGTTCTAGTGACACAGAAAATTTCATACAACAGGCTACAATTCTTATAATCATTAATTTCTGAAAAATATTGTCATGGTTACTGGCTTACTGTATCAACAATTTTTCTATAAATACCTTCAGAAGGTTACTACAGTTTTGGGCAAATTTTAGTACATTTGTGAAGTAAGATACAGGATAAATCCTTTTCAATTTAATTTTTATCTTTTAACTTTAAAAAGTGTAAGTTGTTCCATTGTTTTGTGTTGCAGTGGTAAAGTCTAAAAATAGTCAAACCAATCATTGATAAATGAAGATTAGGAAGTCTAACACATTTTCATGTCACATCTCGCCTTCGCGCAGCTTCCTCCATGGTTAAATTTTCAAATATGGAGAACCCTGCACTGGTATATAAGATATTTTTATGCCTTCCATATAATAATAGTGCAAATTTAAAACCAAGTTTCCCGCAGCTCTGTTATTTTTCAGATTGAATTAAAACCAAGAATGAGTATTGTTGTAAATATGTCATTTATTAATGACACAAATGAAAGACATGAAATTTGGGAGATCCTATGACTTTCTACAATTTGTACCTACACCTTGTTATTTATCTCCCAGAACTTAAAATACAATATTACAATACAAGTTCGATTATTCAATAGGTAAAGTACACTACATATATTTGTAATTACCAATCAAGAAGGAGAAGACTTACAACAAAAATATGAAATTTCTGGAGCATTCTCCTTGCCTAAATATTTTAATATTATCCCAACAGTACAGTTCGATTAAAAATAATTAATTAGTACGCATATGAAATTGTTAAGACTTATCATTTAGAAGTAATTTTCTGTCATTTTGCCAACTTTTCTACTAATATAGTTTTCTTACCCACTGTCGTAATCTTTCTCTATAAAATGTTCAAAATCTGTTTTATATCGCTATCTCTTCATCTAAATTTCGATCATGCAATGAAATAAAAAGTTTTGGTTGACAATGCAGTATTCATCTCTTGGACCCTTGGTGACCATAAATCTGTTGAAAATGTAATTTTCTCTCTTGTCAATGCATATTAGTCATGAAATGCGCTATTTTCACCATATCCTGTAAATGCCGTTTAAAATGATTTTAATTGTCATATAGAGACCTCTGCTCGAAAATATGCAATTAAATAACAAAAGTCCTGTTTCTGAAGATCATATACATGTTTAAATTTTTGGATCTATGTCTGCGCTCATATTTTAATTCTTAGCTGCGGGTATTTCAATGTTTTCTGCAAAATTTAAGAACATTTCATTTTCACAAGACCTGTTTTACAATACCTGCATTCTAAAAAAGAAAAAAATTTGTTAAAGAAAATAAAAGCACTTAGATTTAAAGATTCTTCTTTAGTTTGATATATGAAATGGAGAGAGGGTGATAGTCAAATAATTGTTAAAAAAGGGACTGTGCCATTTTATGCAAAGAGTGAACCTTGCTCTTGCTTATTAATCATTAACATTTTCAATTTCCAGCTTTCTTTTAATAAGTATGGAACTCTCAATTACAAAGAGAAGTAAACTGTGTTGTGACGCTTACCTTGATAATAATTTTGTAGTCTCAACTTCTTAAAAATAATTTAGTTCTGATGACAAAACACTGGTTTTGAATATGAAGGGTATTGAATATTTCCCTTAAAAACCGCTTGACCAGGATAAATCAACGTGATAAAATGTGGTATTTTTTTTTATTTTGACTTCTATTCTGCTGAAGTTTAAGAAATATATATTTTTTTTTTCTCCAAGCATTCGTTTACAATAAACGAATTGTACTTAAGAGTTTTTGTAAAGGAAAACATTAATACAACAATGTGGGATATCTACAAAAGAAATAATATTTTTCTAAATCAGTAATAAAATTCTGTATTCAATGCCCTGAAGAAAAACATTAAATCACGTTTATCAAGTTCCACTCAAAATATAAATTAATTTTAAATTCAGGAAATCAAATTTCTCTAAAAAAAAAAACAAAAAAACAAAACAAAACAAAACGTCTTTCCTGCCACAGTACTTCATCTTTCTACAGGAAGCAAACTTCTTTTTAAAAAACAAGGAAAACTTTAGTTGATGTTGTTAAACTTTAAACATAATCCAATACAAATATTATGAAAAGGAAGTACCGCTCCTTTCGACCGCAGTCTCATTCAAATCAAACTTGTTCGAGGGTTGATCCAAAAGTTCGTGGAATTTCTTTCTAAAATTTTATCGTGATTTGATGAAATCAATCAATAGGCATATTCATAATATAGAGTCATAATACAACAATATTGGAAAATTTCACCACTGTCCAGTCACCAATAAGGTCACGCGAGCTTTCTAAAATTGGATAGTTTGGAAACCCGGGGGAGACTTCGACGTAACGTCAAGTTAGAGATGTCACGTCACGTTATAGAAGCATGTCGCCCAAATGTCCAATTATCATACGTAATTCTACAAAATACTGTCTTTTTCTCCATTTTTTTTCTCAAGAAAAGCCTGGGTATCCTCTCGCAACAACTTATCTTCATTTTTTACTCATATTTCAAAATACTACCCATCTTTCCATATGAGATTCCAATTTCAGTAGCAATGTCAAGATCAGAACGGCAGCCGACAACGTCCATTAACGCTTTAAATTTGTCTAGGGGGATACGTACTTAAACAGAGCCTCTAAAAAGCGACCACACTTTTTATCAATGTCCATGGAAGTTCTATTTTCTTAAATTTCTTATGCCACTGGAAAACCAGTAACTAGATGCTTTTTTCCCAAGCCTATGTCTATAATATACGCGTATAAGATCGAGTGATCCCGGGACTTTCAAAAGAAGTGTCACTTGACCAAATTTTGACGTTAACTAACAACTTAAAGATGAGCAATAAATTATCAACTTATAAACTAAATATCCAGTAAAATCAGTAAAACTCTCACACAAAGGTTTAAAAAATATTCGGCAATCGTAATAATGACATAATTTTCCTTTTATATACCACATAGGGCGGTTTAATTCTTATTTCACGAATTAAGAATTTAAATGATAATAAACGCGTTAATGTCTCCCCCGCATTTCCAAACAACCGTTTCTATGGCAACTGCCATAAAGTAACTATCAAAGATATTTAAAATCTTTTTTAATTTAAAATATTCAACAAGTGTCTATATTTTCCTTTGTAATTTTCATCCGATTTCACTGAAAAATAAATGAATTATGAAGAAATTCCACGAACTTTTGGATCAACCCTCGTATTCCACTTGAACATGCGACCATATATATGCCAACGAACAGCTAATGGAAGGTTTTATTGTTTGTTTTATTTATTTGTATTGTTTAGAGATTTTCCGAGACCGATCACTGATACCATATATCCTGTTGGGCTAGAGATAAAAAGATACCACAGAGTCTGACGTATCTGTTTCAAATTTGGATATTTTACTTGATAAAGATGTTAATGGTAATATATATCCATTTCCAATTGTTTTCTCTATGATAAACACTACTAAATTCCATCTAGTTAATTTCTTGGTAATACCTGTGGTATGTATATTTCTCTCTTGAAATACTACTGAAAGGTCAAATATCAACCTGCCACCTGGTTTATAAATACACTGAAGAAAAAATTAGATGGTTTGTTTAATTGTTTACTAAGTAATTAGATATGATATATCTTTTTACAAACAAAATACTAGTAAATAATGAATTATCTTCAGATCAAAAGCAGGTCGTTAGCGCAACTCTGTCCACTATCACCAAGGCCTTGCGAGGCCGAGAACTTCAATTCCGTAAAGAAGAAATCGTCGAGAAATCGGCAAAGCCACATACAATCCATCATCTGATACAAACATCGTTCCTCAGTTTTTACCATCCAACTTCGTAAGCAACTCAAATTCTATATACGTGCTTGTATTTCCGACAACCTAAATTCAGGTCACATATATGATTTAAATTAATAAGATTTCTTTGATCATAATTGAAAATTCTTTTGTTATTTATTTCATAAATGTTGGTACTTAGCTACAGTAACTAAACAATCATTAAATTCTTTTCGTGTTTTTATGGGACTATTTCTTATAGTAAAATTTGACGTCATGCGGCAGGGCAATGGAAAATACATGGAATGCCTCGTGCATTTCTAATCCACTAATTCAGACGGTATTTCGATTTATTTTAAGATTGTTATTTCAACTAAAAATAAAAATATAAGGAATCACTTGCTAGTTAGGAAGATACATGTATATGCCAGGGATATCAACGATAGTGGGAAACCACAGGTACTTGTGGACAGGACCCCCCCCCTCCCCT